TCGGACGTTTTGATTGAAAATTACTTTAATATAGAATCATCTGTAAAGAAAGAAAGAAAGGATGAAGGAACAAAACATTAGGCAATTAAATCAAATTTCCCACGGTCGGCTGAAAGTTTTATATCATCGGGAGGTCTGTTACGCCTTCATGATAAAGTTCGAACGCATCATACTCTTAATATGACATCGTATAGCCATTGTGTGTCCTTCGTGTGTCCTGCGAGAAAACATCGCAATAAAATTTCTCATTTTTGTGTTGCCTACGTGTGTGGTTCGGTGGTCATCGTGTGACCTTCTGTAGGCATCTTACTTGCCTGATGATTATCTTTTGACCAAGTTCAAGGCCATCTTCAAAATTTCATATGCGTATGGCCATCTGTTGTCAATTTCGGGACTTCGAACTTCGTGGATGCGTAAGACGAACACAAATAAATTCGACTTTCCTTAAGAAAGTCTAAAAGATCGGTTAATCATTTAATTTGAGCAGACATCGAAATGATAAAATATAATATCTCGTTTACTTGCATTTTCTATAGTGTCATCTAGTACTCCGTTTTGCATATAATTGTTTATAATAACTCAAAGTGACTTTAATAAGTGAATATTTGTAATACTCCTCCATCAAGATTAAAGTGATAATGCATTTGAATACTGGTTTCCGTATAGTTTTGTAAACGTTGTCCAATTTGAAAACATTTTTTTTTACAATTAATCACGGAAACCAATATTACAAGAAACCCCAACAAAATAAACACTAAACCAATGATCAGATATAGAAATAATTTTAATAAACATATACCATCGTCGATATCTTTCTTCATATAATTTATTCGGACAACATACATTCATAAAAATAACTCATAGCTTATTTATGAAAGTAAGATGTTTACTAAATTAGATTGGCTGCAAAAGACTTATATTTATTTTACACAAAATAATAGATATTTGTGACTAATAAACAAAATAAATCTGTAATTAATGTATATTTACTTATAAGATAATTCTAGAAAGTCGTTGCATCAGAATACTTTCCCTAACTTAATACATGTACCAAGTAAGCGATTATGGTATAGACTCTGTTCTTATGTTGAAAATCGTAAGTTAATGATTAGATGTTTTGTGTGTTGGGTTGCTGCCTTACTTACATATTTTTATTCATATAGATCATTAATGTCTTTAATTATAACAAGAAGAGATATATCAAACCCTGTCGTTCCAGTCAAAATAGACTTCTCACTTATAGCAGATTGCAAAGAAAACAAGCAAACGTTGATTTTTTCAGTCGGAAATCTAAGGTATCTCTCTCCGATTATGGCTTTTCGTCAGATTTTATTACGAATTTCACTAATAAAGCACGACAATGAGTTCGATGTTAGTGTTAGGTTGGGTTGGTTCGTTAATATTCTTTTTTCAATGTAGTGCTTTGTGCAATGTAATTTGTTTTTTGTTTTGTCATTTAATTTGGCCATACTGGTGTCTGGCCTTTTTTGACTTATGATGACTTTTACCTCTTTAATATCTCCTTACTTTCAAAAATACGTCAAAATCAACAAATGATAATAATGATACTAATCAATTATTCTAGTTATAAATACGGTTTATAATGATTCAAATTATTTTTTTAAATCCTACATAGAATATATCCTTTCGTTTACACAATTCCTCTCATATAAGTAATTTTTGCTTTTTTTATTGAATTTTATTTCAGAATTTCAGATTATGCAAATCTAGGTACAAACTAAAATGGTTATCATAATAAATATTAGTCCGTAAAGTAACATAGCGGCATAGAAATTTATTTATTGTAATCTCAGACGATATCATTATCCTTTCAATACTTGTAAAAAAACAATTCTATTTTAAAAAGTAAACATTTAACTGTAAAAGAGAGGCGAAATCAAGACTTATTCCAATTCTCTCTTGACTTGAAACGATTACAATATTACAAATACAATTTGTGCATATCTGTAATGTTGTATTTCATTTCCGTGAATATGTTTGTCAAAACAAATGTCAATGAAAATGCTAAATTGAATACTTCCATTTTCCTTAACGAAATAAGTGTACTTAAGAGTCCATGTTCATACAACGTTGGCATTATCAAACGAGAATTACACTTTATACATTTCGTACATAACGTTATCATATGATGATCAATATTTACATGATATTTCTAATAAATGCGAATATTATTTTGTGCAATGATGAAATGTCTAACGAAGTATAAAAATTCTGATAATACGATGCTACAGAATCCTTAAGGACCCCGACACCAGCCTGTGAACAAAGGAGAAAATTCAACATTTTCTAATGTTATATGGTATCAGCAATCTCATGCTTACATTGTGGGAAGTGTTATTTAGATGTGACCAGTACATTAAAACATTCAAAATATATGGTATAGTACATGCAATCTATGTCTTTTTCCTCTTGCAAGTGTATAAACACATGCCCCCTCTCTAACCTTTACAAATGTGTTAAACATTGTTTCATAAAAAAAGATGACCAATGCAGACACAAACTGCATGACATTATACAAATGGTTGATGTTCTTGGTTTACAATATATTTGTAACGTTTGGTGGATGAGTATTATCAATAGATAATTGGATTCATATGGCTACAATCTGTGTTTCCGTGGTTATCGACTTATTCTTTTATTTTTATAAGGCAGCGGTATACTACTGTTGCCTTTATTCCTCCAGGAGCTCCCCAAGAAGAATGAAAGATACTAGTAATATCATATAGCTTCACGTTCTGCTATAAAAATGATGTCCTTTCACTGAGTAATTCAAAATTTGGTTGCTTAGTCTGTTTCATATTTATATTTACGTCTATAAATTGAGGATGTTGGTAAGCTTAGAACTAATCTTTACTACAACAGATATAATTTTACTTTTCCAATTGTTAACTTTCCATTTCTGTGAAGAAACACCACAGCAGCGCCCGCCTATGGAATATATATATATACGTTTCAATATTACAGGCCTTGTGTTTTCTTTCATGATTTAATTACACAGGGTTTTTGCATAAACGGAAGCTTTTTAACCAAGGGTTACTTATGGCAAGTCGAAGGCATCTTTTGAAAGGTTTTAGGAGCACCATCGTAATTTGGTGTATCGTTATGAAATATTTAAGTGCCAGATGACTACTAGTGTGTTCCATTTGATTTAATGAGGATAACTATGTGAAAATATTACCAAAATTTCCATTTCCCTTGTGTTTTTTTTTAATTCTTGTCTGCTCTTTTTCCTCAACAGAAAACATTGCAAAAAAACTAATAAGCCTGAGACAAAACAAATACTCTATATTCTATAAGGCGACAAAAGGACATTCCTGATATTAGCATAGCTGATCATAGATACCAAGCCAGCGTTACCGACTAACTGTAGGCTCTTGAACCTCGTATAAACCCATGCTAAAAAGGGCCTTTAAATATCAATATTCAAAGGATTATGACGAGGTTATTATCGGTTAAAGATTTGGAAAATGGCACTTCATTCAACAATAAAAAAGGGCAATTTTGATTTTTCATGTGGAATGTTATTATTAAGGAAGTTAATACACATGAATTGTTGAACAATAGAAATGATATACAATTAATAGAATTTGGGAAAACGTATAAAACATAGATCGGTAAAAACCACATCTATTCAATTGTTGACGTACATTTCCAATCCAATTATATAATTGTAAAAGAACGTGTCGTGCACACACGAAAAGTCGCCACATTTTTTATTATATCACATCCGTTCCTTTTTACATTAGAGAGTATATTTATCTGGTCAAACATTAAGTAGACTAGAAAATAGAAATTCTTTCTGGGGAGTTCTTTTTTTTGAATAACTGTCTCAGTTTTGCTCTTTTCATGGCAAGTAACATAAAGAACGTTTTAAAAGTTCTGTGTGATATAGGAAAAGTTTGAGCAATTAAAAACCAAAACGGAAAATAAGCTGTAATAATCCAAACCTGTATCAGGAACCAGTTTTTACACCTGGAATCATGCAAAAATTCGTTTGACAATGACATTATTTTAGATAATTCTGTAGTTTTCTGTAAAGTGTTTTTTAAACTGTTTTTATGTGTCTTTTTGGTCATAGTATTGCTTTTTTTTCTAATCTACATTGGTTTTATTCTACCCCTTTGGTTTTTAATTGATGTGGGAATTTTCTCTCATGTAATCTGAATAAACATTTCACAGAAAGCTAAAGTTTAAAATAACACATTTCACAGAAACGAAAAGCACTCAAGTCTGATTGTTTAAGACTAGCCACGTTATACGATTACTATACATGTCAAATAAATTCCAATATACTGCAATAAATAGGTATTCTATTTCATAGGTTCAAAACAGCAGGCAACTCAAATTAAAGGTACGAATATTTTTCGTTGCAATGCATCACTTTCACTAAAAGCGATTAGTTGTTATAGTAAATGGAATTCAATTACCTTCTGACTGATATATCTTTTTGAGGATTTATTTCATTTACTTGGTAATAATTCAATAAATATTCCCTAGACGCTACCTTAAAACTATCAAAATCTGTGATTGTTAATCACGACTGGTTCATCGCAGATGATCATGACATTTTAATTGGATAAAGTGCTTCTTCAGCTTTAATAAACGAGCACGTCTGACAGTTCACGTGGGTCCCCTGTGTTGTAATTATAACATTTGCTGCCTTATATTAATGTAACCGTTCAAGTAAGAGTTTCATTAACTTTGATCAATACAACAGAAATTGTCTTAGTTCGTCAAACGCTCATAGACACGCACTTAAAGCAGAATATGATACAGCCCTGTATAATATACAAAATAGTTCACAATCTAGATGTGTCTTAAAGACTTCATTAAAAGTTACTTAATGATAATCACATCGTTATTTCAAAATTCCATATGCATAAAACTCAGATTACGTCCACGCTAAATATCAATTTACGGGAATCGACTGCGAACTATAGTTTCAGGATCTTTACTTGTTGTTTGTTGACAATGTTTATATTTCCACGCGACTAGTTCTTCGACTCAAAATGGTATAATTTTGTAGGAAGAAAAAGCAACATGATATTGAATACATACGCTTAACAACACATTACAAAATGAACTGCAGAAAAATACTTGTTCAGCTTTATTTGATTATGCATTCAGTTGTACACTCAGACTCGGAAGTACGCGGGAATAATTTGCCATGTGAATATAGTTTCCATGTATGGTATCCCGACGAAGATATCAGACAAAAAGTGAAGGATGTCAGTTATAAGGTGAGCAATATTACGGGATATATAGACAGGGAGTTTCTTACGATGAAAGCTACAGCTTTGGAAGAATTGAAACAATGTCAAAACTGGACCATACATCTAGAACGGCAAATTACAGAATTAAAATTTAAAACATTGAAGGGAAGGATCATTGAAAGGGACACATCTAACAGTATTACTGATGTTGAAAGAGATCTTTTAGACCTAAAAAAGAAAGTAAGCCATTTGAAAAACAATTATCAAAGGATGCATAGAGGTTTTCAAGCTTTAAATATTGGAAATATGAGAAAAGCAGAGCCCATAAGCCATCGTGAAATAAATATGCTTGATTTGTTAAAAAATACTGTTCGGGATTTGAAAGCTGAATGGGTTGTAGTGAAGCGTGACGTCATAGAATTACAAACAGAACACAGGAGTATTAAAATGGGCCAAAATAAATACAGTAACAACTCTTTTCATATTGCGGAATCCATCCAATTACTTACAACGAAATTATCCACCTTGGAGGTAAAACACGATGATTTAACAAATGCTTTAAAATCACAATCAGATAAAAATGATAACTTAAATGGTAGCATACAGGAACTGAAAGCTCACGATGAGGAATATACAGTAACTGCAGACATTATAAAAAACGATCTGAAAAATTTAGAAGCTAAAGTAAAATCCGTTGATAAAGACCTTGGATTGTTAAAGGATGACAATGCTTATCTAAAGACGTTAGTCATTGCGTCTTTGAAGTCTACGGAAGTTAATCATGACGGGACTAAAGAAAATAAACGAAGAGTGATCACGAGTATACCCAAGGGTAGGTTTACAGTATTTCAAACATGATATATAATTATTTAACAAATAAATTATCCAAATTCTTTGGGAAATTTATTTTAAATTGAGGAATATATATCTCCCTCATGCAAAGATCTGATTCCTTGCCCGGCTTTGTCATACTTTGTCATACTTTTGTCATACTTTGTCATACTTTGTGTAATTTATAGTTTATTAGCTCTTCATTTTTAATAAGTTTTGGATTTTCAAATATTTTGTCCTCGATCGTCACTGAAGAGATATTTATTGTTGAAATGCGTATCTGGTGCAGTAAAATTGGTACCGTTAATGTTAGATACATTATAGAATAAATGAATACCACTTGTCACATCAAAAGCTTAATGTAACACTGCTGCGTAGATAAATTTATTACTTTGGGATACCATACGACATATTTTGTTAATAGTGAACAAAAAGGTAAAACATGCTACACAGAGGAACAAGTGATCAGTATGATGGAGTTTCTTATTGACAACATATTTGTTGAATTTGGAGGTAGACTTTTTCAACAAATTGTCGGCATTCCTATGGAAACGAACTGTGCACCTCTCCTTGCCGACCTCTTCTCATTTTCATATGAGTCGGAGTTCCTTCAGACACTTGTCAAAAACAAGAAGATCAAAGAAACCAGATCATTTAATTTCACATTCATATATATTGATGATGTTCTTTCCATTAACAATCCAAACTTTTCGGATTTATATTTCCATTAATATATCCTCCAGAACCAGAAATTAAAGAAACAACAGACACAGCTTCATGCGCCTCATTTTAAGACTTACACCTCGAATTTGACATAAGCGGTAATCTCAGAACCAGAATCTATGGCAAACGAGACGATTTTGATGTTGAAATAATCAATTTCTCCCACCTTAGTAGCAATATACCAACTTAACCTGCATATGGGATATACATTTCCCAACTCATTCGGTATTCAAGAGCTTGCAGCTACTACTCAGACTTTATAAAACGTCACCAGTGTCTGAGCAGAAGGTTGATGAACCAGGGTTATTTTTGCATTTTTGCGCCTGTCCCAAGTCAGGAGCCTCTGGCCTTTGTTAGACTTGTATCATTTTTAATTTTAGTTTCTTGTGTATAATTTGGAGTTTAGTATGACGTCCATTATCACTGAACTAGTATACATATTTGTTTAGGGGCAAGCTGAAGGACGCCTCCGGGTGCGGGAGTTTCTCGCTGCATTGAAGACCCATTGGTGGCCTTCGGCTGTTGTCTGCTCTATGGTCGGGTTGTTGTCTCTTTGACACATTCCCCATTTCCATTCTCAATTTTATTATGTCAAAGAACGTCTCGTCCTTTTTCTTAAAAGTTCATCGGAAGATACCAAGACCTTGTTGATAATATTCCGTATCAACTTCACAAATAATACATGATGGTCTTGAAGTATAGATTCTATGTCCTGAAGTTGTTTATCATCTTAATGACGTGTTCTTTTATTTGTCTTTATAAATTATTAACCTTTACTGTTTTAAATTAGTCCACTTTTGGTAATATCCATTTGGCGTGGCTCGGTAATTATGCAGCCCACCATTGTGTTGTTGTGCTGTGGTCTTTTTTTGTTTTTTTGTCTTTCATTTGTGCTTTGTCTATATGCCATTTGTTTTCTTTGTTGATATATTTTGCTTTTAATAGTGATTAAGATTATAACACAATGTTGACTGCTGTACCACTATTTTTGACATTTTTACCTATTATGTCTTTGTTTTGCTCATGATCACACATTGTTGTCAATATAATGGAATTTTATGCGACTGTCAGAAAAGTGACAGGTTTAGCTAGCTATAAAACCAGGTTTAATCCACCATTTTCTGCATAAGGAAATGCCTGTACCAAGTCAGGAATATGACAGTTGTTTTCGATTCGTTTGATGTGTTTGAGCTTTTGATTTTGAAATTTGATAAGGGACTTTCCGATTTGAATTTCCTTAGGTTCGAAATTTTTGTTATTTTATTTTTTACCACGGCACTTCAATGTGTCCGTAAATGCAACTCAGCTCTGTAATAAACATGTTGTCTATTTCAATTCGCAGTTCATGTCTTACATTTTCAGAATCGCACCTACGTTTCAGACTATCGCTTTTCGTGTTGAATATTGGGATGCAACATGCATGTTAATTAAATCTATTAAATATAACTACAACTTGATACTACTAATCAACGTATTTTACCGGAGTAACACGACGGGTGTCACATTTGGAGCAGGATCTGCTTTCCCTTCCAGGGCACCTGAGATCACCCCCGGTTTTTGGTGGGATTGGTGTTGCTCAGTCTTTAGTTTTCTTTGTTGTATTTTGTGTACTGTTGTTTGCCTTTTGATCTTTTTTTGCCATGACATTGTCATTTTTGTTTTTTAGTTTAAATATCTCGTTGGTATCTTTCGCCTCTCTTTTATATCTTGACAACTCTGTGTAAAACTGTTCAAAATTGAATGAGAACTTCTTAGGGAGGTTTTTGTTTTTGATAAAGGGAGGGAACTATGAAATCTTGTCACATTAAACCGACATAGTGCGAACGATGCGTGTTGCAGTGAGTCCAGCCAGACCATGTTTTAATATATAATAGTATCCTTGAACTTGTTAAAACTCACTGAAGTCATATTGTTGTAACGTGACATTAGATATTAAATCATTTTGTCACCAAATGTTACCTTTGGGACTATTTGAATCAATTAAATGTCCTAAGCTTCCATTCTTCGTTCTTAACATCCTGTCGTAAGCTTCCAATTCTTCTTCCTTAACATCCGTTGAATTCAATTCTAAAGAAATGTAATTAATATGCAGTGTAAAACGAACATCTATGAGTTGACAATTCCTTCTAATCATATGTTTTGTGATAGCAATCAAATTTGACGTGGGTATAAAAGATCTTCAGAAAGCGTTTAAGACATAAAGGCAGTCGGTTAATCTAAAAAAAAGTTAAACAAATCAACAATCCTAACTTGCATTACTCATATCTGTATACGGATATAGCGGTTTTAAGATTTAATGTTGCACATAACACCTTAACCCTGTACATTGTGGACAATACCTAAAGAAACTATAATAATTGTAGAACTGTAGAAATTTATTCTAATAATAATAGACACTAGTTGAATTCACTCTGAAACTTCTTCACCCTTTTTTCAGAGTTATGAAAATATACCGGTATTCCCTTTTTTCTTAAAAATGAGTAATTATTATAAGATTACAACTTATCCAATGGTTTTTGGCACAGGACCGTGAAAAATCCCATGAATTGACATTGAGGTTGTACAACACTCATAATGAAATAGTTCGAATGATTTTTTGTCGAGCCTGCGACTTTTGTCGCAGAAAGCTCGACATAGGGATAGTGATCCGGCGGCGGCGGCGGCGTTAGCTAACTTCTTAAAAGCTTTATATTTTAGAAGCTAGAAGACCTGAATGCTTCATACTTTGTATATAGATGCCTTACGTTACGAAGTTTCCGTCTGTCATATGTTCATTGTCCTTGACCTCATTTTCATGGTTCAATGACTACTTGAAAAAAAAGTCAACATTTTTTGTAATGTTAAAAAATAAAATTGAGAATGGAAATGGGGAATGTGTCAAAGAGACAACAACCCGACCATAGAGCAGACAACAGCCGAAGGCCACAAATGGGTCTTCAATGCAGCGAGAAACTCACGCACCCGGAGGCGTCCTTCAGCTGGCCCCTAAACAAATATGTATACTAGTTCAGTGATAATGGACGTCATACTAAACTCCAAATTATACACAAGAAACTAAAATTAAAAATGATACATGACTAACAAAGGCCAGCGGCTCCTGACTTGGGACAGGCGCAAAAATGCGGCGGGGTTAAACATGTTTTTTGAGATCTCAACCCTCCCCCTATACCTCTAGCCAATGTAGAAAAAACAAACGTACAACAGTACGCACAGTAAAACTCAGTTTAAGAGAAGTCCGAGTCCGATGTCAGAATAGGAAACAAAAGAAAATAAACAAAATGACAATAATACATAAATAACAACAGACTACTAGCAGTTACTGACATGCCAGCTCCAGACCTCAATTAAACTGATTGAAAGATTATGTCTTCATCATATGAATATCAGGCACAATCCCTCCTGTTAGGGGTTTAGTATTATACCATCATAAAATAATTTCTTTCTTATTATGAGTAATAGGATAACTATATTTAGTATGTGCGTACCTTGCAAGGTCCTCATGCCCGTCAGACAATTTTCATTTGACCTCGACCTCATTTCATGGATCAGTGAACAAGGTTAAGTTTTCGTGGTCAAGTCCATATATCAGATACTATAAGCAGTAGGTCTACTATATTTGGTATATGGAAAGATTGTAAGATGTACATGTCCAACTGGTATGTGTCATCTGACCTTGACCTCATTTTCATGGTTCAGTGGTCAAAGTTAAGTTTTTGAGTTTTGGTCTTTTTTTCTAATACTATATGCAATAGGTCAAGTATATTTGGTGTATGGAAATATTTTACGATGTACATGTCAGTCTCGCAGGTTTTATTTGACCTTGACCTCATTTTCACGGTTCATTTCTCAATGTTAAGTTTTGTGTTTTGGAAGGATTGTAAGGTGTATATGTCTGTCTGGCAGGTATCACCTGACCTTGACCTCATTTTCATGGTTCATTGGTCAATGTTAAGTTTTCATGGTTAAGTTTGTTTCTTAGATACTATAAGCAATAGGTCAACTATATTTAATGCATAAATTGATTGTAAAGTGTACATGTCTGTCTGGCATGGTTCATCTGACCATGACCTCATTTTCATAATTCATTGGTCAATGTTAAGTTTTCTTGGTTAAGACTGTTTCATAGAAACTATAAGCAATAGGTCAACTATGTTTGATTTATTGAATGATTGTAAGGTGTACATGTATTTCTCATTTGGTTTATCTGACCTTGACCTCATTTTCTTGGATCATGTTAAGTTTATGTGTAACTTGTAGTAAAGCTTTATATTTAGGACTATCAACATAAAATCAATGGTTAGTAAAGAAGGCGAGACATTTCAGCGTGTGCACTCTTGTCTCATTTTTACTTACTTTGAAACTTTTGTCAGCATAATTGTAATAAAATGAAACTAATTTTGTGTACTGTTTTGTCCTATAATTTTCGAACAAGGATCTTTCAATGTATATTGAAAATGGGGACATTATGTTGATATGTATTGTGAACAGGTGAAGTTTTGATAACTAGAATCTAAACAAAACTAAGTATAAATCTATCAAATATAATGTATACCACCCTTCAGTAAATAAGCATGTCAGAATCAGTATATGAAGCACTATATTTGAATGTTATTTTACATTTTTTGGTTTGGGCATTTATATTACTTGTATAGTTTTAATGTTACATCGAATACAAATAATAAATTGCCAGGAATTCCTGGAGTTCGTGTTAATATTTTGAAAATATGGATTTTCGTCGACAAATTGATATTAATTGTAACATGCTTATTTCAGATTGCCAAGATGTAAGTGAAATGGGATATGATGTTAGTGGTGTGTACCAGATCAAACCAGAAGGAGCAGAGGAACCAGATAATATTTACTGCGAATTTCTTAACGGAACTGCATATACTGTTATTCAACGTCGCACTGATGGTCTTCTTAGCTTTAACAGGCAGTGGATCGAATATAAGTTCGGTTTTGGAAATCTGTACGGCAGCCACTGGATTGGAAACGAATGGATTAATTTTGTTACAAATCAAAATGAGTATACGCTACGAATTGATATGTGGGACTGGGAAGGAAAGAAACATTTTTCTGAATATAGAATCTTTTCAATTGGAAGCCAGGATGTAGATTATCAGATCCACGTGGGTGGATACACGGGGAATGCCGGGGATTCCCTCAGCTTCCACGACGGTATGAAGTTTAGTACTGAGGACATGGATAATGACCTCAATGTCCGTCATTGCGCGGCGGAAAACAAATCTGGATGGTGGTTCAATAATTGCTATCTTAGTAACCTAAATGGCGTGTACCACGTCGGATTTTATTCTCACTCTCAGTACAGTGATGGTATTGTTTGGTTTACACTGAAAGAGGACGATAAGTATTCACTTCGAAAAGTGGAAATGAAGCTTAGGCGAAATACAAATTGAACTATTACAATTATAATACTTATTCATCAATTTGGAATCTGATATTGTTTTATAAACCCCCCCCCCCCCCCCCCCTCAAAAAAAAAAGAAAAAAGAAAAAAAAAGTCAAGAGGCTGGCCGAAATCACTACATTAATTGAATGATTGGAGTCTATTTTGACAATTGTTAGGCTTTATATTCATATGTCATTGATTTCTCTCTATACTCTTTATATATTTGTATCTAAATACTTCTAAATTGAAATTGAAAAAAAAAAAATAAGCCTTCAATTTTTGTGTCTTCAACAAAAATACGGTTACTTTAATTCGACAGACATTAAATCTATCAATTATGCTTTCCCTTAGTTATTCCAGTCTATGATTTCATCAAACTGACTTACCAGTGGTAAAGAAAGAATTAAACTTAAAACATTAATATAAAAGAAAAACAATTTATAAACGACTAGCGTATGTAAACAAAAGAGTTTTGCGTTGAAATAACGTACAACAAAAGTATTGTTAAATTCAATATATGAAAAATTCATCTACACCATGCATGATGTCATTAATTAGATATCCTGCATCTACCATGTTTTACCATAACATCAGGTCCAATTGCTGAAAGACATTCTGCTAAATTATTGAAATCTATCGTGTTGTACTAACCATACTATCGAGGTGTAAATAAGATACAACCCATTGGGATATCGCATCAACGGTAGTATCTAATGCATTATATACAAGTATATGTGATAGGAATCATGTATCGTCTAAAGTTTCTAAACTCAGTTGATGGCTTTAAGAATAAAATTATCTGTAAATATTGTGTGTTTTATTCTACAAGTATTCAGTTGGTTCAACTATTTAGTTTGCGTCAATGGACTATAATATTCGATTGCGTCGACGCCAAAGTATAAGTTTGTTAAGTTTTACGTCTGAATTCATTAATCAGAAACTAGAAGTAATAAGATAATTTAAACTTGTACAAGTGTATTTTAGGAGGCAGGTCTACACCTAGCCAAGAATAAGTCAATGTGACCAACATTTAATGGTCATTGCCTTTAAATAAAAGGATCTTCTAAACAATTGTAATTATGCATTTTGGAGAATAGAACAGAACACTATACCTAATGTTAATGTTTCACGCTTTTGTCAAGTTTTACGACAGTTGCTTTCTATTCGTTCCGTTGGTTGATATAGTCGAGCGTTTTTTTCATGTTTATAATGGACTTTCCCTCCCCCATTTTAATTTACCTTGGAGTTCGGTATTTTTGTTAATACTTTTTCCATATTTCCGTAACTATTGGTAATAAGATTAAATCATCCATTTTGGGATATAGGTCAACACCCAAGCAAATGTGGATCACTATGATCTATTTAACGTGTTTTTACTTTGGTAAATGTTTATTTCCGATTTGATATCTAGGTAAAAGTCAATTGATATGATTATCTAAACTTTTAAAAGAAATTGATTTGGTGGGTCAACATTAAGGGGAAAAAGATCATTATTATACATTTATCATATTTTCTCTATATAATTACAGTATGTAAAAACTTAATATATGACTGCTTTTACAGTTCCGAAACACTCTCCCGAAAATGATGTTTAAACCAGGGACAACAATCTGAAAATACCGTATTTCATTGCTCATTCTTGACTAGTGTTTTATCGGATGCTTCTTTGCCCTAAGAACATTGTGCCAAGAAAACAATTCATTACACAATTTAAAAATACTTTCAATTATACTATACTGGTAAAGGGATATATTGACATATCTGTGTAGTGTACCGACTTTTATAATTCAATTGGTGTTTGGATATTTCAACATTGAACTGAAGGTGTGTCTATATTGGTAGAACTGAAGGTGTGTCTATATTGGTAGAACTGAAGGTGTGTCTATATTGGTAGAACATCTACAGATTCTGTTTTATGTCGCTGTCACATTGGTGTATACCATACATCGTCTTTTATTCACTAAAAGTACGAGAAAGGTCATAGAAATGAAATAATACTGAATATTAACTAAATATTTGCTGAATGAACGCGCTGAACGAACGCTATATACATGATATAGCGATCAGCGAGCTAAACGTTACGTTTCTTACGTAGTTGTTCTGGAAAACTGTTCATTTAAATATTAGTAAGTATTTTATAATAATAATTACCAAAACAATAAACTAACCAACCTTTATTCATAAATGAAATGACACAAAATCGTAGTCTGTAAGGATCCTAATAGAACATATGCATTGCGTAATAAAAGTTAAAAATTGTTAAATGGGAGGTAATATTGACCGATACAAAACAAATTCTCTGTACAATTCTAATATGATTTCAAAATTAGACGATGCGGTATCATTGCCAATGAGGCAAATATCCATCAGATATTAAATGACTTAAGCAACTAAAGGTCTGCGTACAGCCTTCAACAATAAGCGAAACCCACAACGTTCAGTAAGCTATAAAAGGCGCCGACATGAAATTATTTGTTTACTTGTAATGCAGATTTGCTTTTAATTATCGCGTACTCTTTTTGTGATTAAGAAGATGCAAATAAAAGAAACAATTCTTTGATCGGAAGCAAATTATAAATGGTCATACTTTTATGATTTTGATTTACATTTCTGCATTATTTTTTATAATTTTATTTTTAGTTGTACTCGATGGTGACTTGAAAAAATCATTAAGTAAAGTACGATACGTTACATTTGATCACGGGAAGTTGATAAAACGTAGTACTTTTGATTATATTGGACATTATGTTTGACTTCAAGAGTTGTCTCTATCTCAAAGTCAATGCTACAGATAACGAGGAATCGTTATTCTTTAGTAATTACTGATGGATAAAATGGAAAAATTACTTCCTCTCGATCTCTTATTAATGATTAGTTCTAATCAAAGACAATAATTATGGATTGTTCCTAGTAATTCACGTTGATCTTATAAACAATCTATATACATTGTACGTGGTTCCCTTAAAATAGTAAAAAATAAAACTTCGTTACAATGAAGAATTCCAATTAGAGAAACAACAATTAAAACCATTTGTCAATATTGAAAAGAAAAAAAAAGATCACAAATTGGTTCCATTAATTTGCACTTGTAAAACTACGAATACTGCTTTGGTTTTCATTTGAAACATAAAATAGCTAAAAAGGAATAAGTTTGAAAAGCACACGCGTACGCACGCACGCTCACGCAGATATACAAATAGTGTAAGAAGTTGGAATAGTTGATTTTTCAGACGTCACACCAATATATGTACAAAATAAATCTAAAAGTACTTTGATAAAGGATATCGCGAAGACAATTGAGGCCATCTTATCTAATAATCATGTGCATTCTAATCTGCATAGTTTATTACAGTATAAACATGAAAATAGAGACAGAAAACGCTCTTTCTTGTGTTATTATTATGTGTTTCTTTATAGGCATGGCGGATTCTGCTTGTGGAACTTTTCCATCTCCTGGACATAGTAGGTTTTTATCCTTTATTGTTCTATTATTAATAGATTAATATCTAAAATGTGCACCTTTTTATTCGGAAGTAGCTGTGTCATACATTACAAACAATGTCACTATTCATGAGATTGATATCACTGCTGGTTTATTGTGGGGATCGTGTTGCTCAGTCTTTAGATATCACTTTTTGTTCATTGTGGGGATCGTGTTGCTCAGTCTTTAGATATCACTCCTGGTTCATTGTGGGGATAGTGTTGCTCAGTCTTTAGATATCACTTTTTGTTCATTGTGGGGATCGTGTTGCTCAGTCTTTAGATATCACTCCTGGTTCATTGTGGGGATAGTGTTGCTCAGTCTTTAGATATCACTTTTTGTTCATTGTGGGGATCGTGTTGCTCAGTCTTTAGATATCACTCCTGGTTCATTGTGGGGATCGTGTTGCTCAGTCTTTAGATATCACTTCTGGTTCATTGTGGGGATCGTGTTGCTCAGTCTTTAGATATCACTTCTGGTTTATTGTGGGGGTCGTGATGCTCAGTCTTTAGATATCACTTCTGGTTCATTGTGGGGATCATGTTGCTCAGTCTTTAGATATCACTCCTGGTTTATTGTGGGGATCGTGTTGCTCAGTCTTTAGATATCACTCCTGGTTTATTGTGGGGATCGTGTTGCTCAGTCTTTAGTTTTCTATGTTGTGTTTTACATCCTGTTTGTCGTTTGATCAGTTTTCATTTTTTTGCCATGGCATTGTCAGCTTGACGTTTTAGACTTGTGAGTTTGAATTGCCTTTGATATCTTTCGCCTCTCTTTTTCGATATAATAAATGTATCATTCCGATTTAAGCGTGCATGACAGTAAAAAGAATGTACATGTACAAAAATGTAGCCAAAAATTGACATTTTAAATTGTTATTCTGAATTTTGTTTTGTTTTATAGATCCGGCAAATTGTACTTATAAGGGTGTGGTAGTTGCTCTAAACAGTACACATACTGATTACAAAGCTTGTCATGAAATATATTGCGAAGCCGATGGCTCTATGTTTGTTTGTGGGTAAGATATTCAGAAAAAATATATCACTTTAAAAAATGCACGTTGCAAACATTAACAAGAACGGAATATTGAATAATATTTCGCCTACAGCCGTCAGATCGGTTCAATTTTGTCAAAATAAGCAAACAAACATGTGTGATACATTATTGACCTTCTAAACAATAATGTGAGCGTATTTACACCTGTATGCATGATATCCATTATGGCCTTAGTTGAATTGTTTGCGCATGTGCCCATCATGTTTAGTTATCGGAAAAATGGCAGCTGAAAAAAATTAAACTAGAGGGCAGCTTTAATTTGTTGACTGAATAGGTCCTCAAACATCATAATTATTCATTGTTTTGTTAATTAAATGTCGTACAGTCCCGTAATGTTGATTATAACGATTTTATACATTGCTTATTGTTTTCTATTGGATTTGTGTACTTCTGATATACGGTTTAGGATGTTGTAACATGAATGGTGATTTTACTTTGATCTTCGAGTGAGTTACTTATGTTATTCTTAGAGGAGTGCGTTAAATGAATGATTTGTTAGTTATTACACTGCCCAATCCCGCCGTTG